AAAAAAAATTAAAAAAAATTTTTGAAGAACTAACCTACTTAACCCCCCCCCCCCCCCGCGCGTTCGCGCCTTTGCGCACAGGGGACGGTGGAGAAGCAGCAGAGCGTGTTCTTCATGATCCACGTGACGAAAGACATGGCGAGGGACGGCCTTGTGCTGCGATGCACGTCCACGAACAAGAGCCGTTTCAAGCTTGTGGTGAGTTATTGTGGTAGAGTCGGCACGACGTGTGGATGTTTCGCGCTCGCTCTTCACACAGCAGTGCCAGCAGCAGCAGCAGCGGCAGGAACAGGCCGTCCCTGTACGAGTTTGTTCAGCCCCTTCACGAAGCTTGTGTATTTTCCGTGTCGAGCCTAGCATCCGGCAAGTATAGCTCTCGTAGCACTATTGGTGACCATTCCAAGCGTATTTTTTTTGTGCTGTGTCGCCTCCTGGTGTACAGCAGTACCCCGCGGTATGTATACCGCCGTGGTTTGGTGTGTACTTTTCAGCACGATTCTATTCCGTCTCTCAACGCTGAGAGTTACTCTACCCGTTTTCCTAAACATTTCACGTTTCCACAATGGCGCATCCACCAACAAGGCCTGAAATCTGTTTGACATGTTTCCGTCCGGTCGGAATCCAGTTGTGAGTGAGCGTTTGAGCTCCCCTTCCCTCCCCTCTTTTTCACGCTTGTTTTTGTTTGTGTGTTTCAAAGCTTTTCGACAACGCCGGCAAAGCAAGGTATCAGGAGGAGAGCAGCTCCACCTCCAACAACGAGGGTTTCACCATGTGCTCGCTCTTCTTTGCCCCGTATGAGGTAAGTTTGCCGCGTGAGCGGGTGCGCAGCCAGCCGCATGCTTGTTGTGTGTATTTATTTTGCCCTGATTTTTTTGTTTCCTGCCCTGCTTGGCACTGGTGTGGAGTGCTCTCGGTTCAGAAAAACTTTCGCCACCGACTTTTGTAGAGGCGTCTGTGGTGTTACGGGTGATCTTTCGGTGATTACATGTATATTTTCTTTGTTTTAACTATTTACGTTTTTTTCCGTTCTCGGTGTGTTTGAGCTTCTCGACCACCTCGATTGTGGTTGTCGGCGAACGCGTATGTCATATCGGTGTGTGGTTGCTTGTGTCTTGTGCGTGTATTGTACTGTACTTCTATTGTATTGTAGTCATTGTAGTATTCTATTCTTTTGTATTGCAGGTGAGCAACGTTGCGGACACGATCAACATCGCGGGGCTTAAGGGGGAGGAGGTACCCCCTATCTTCCACCGATTGGACCTCTTCCAGGTTACTAGGTGAGGGATTGATGAGACTAATGGTAAGAGACACACAGAGGGAGGGAGAGACAGGCAGACAGATCGAGGGAGAGGGGGAGAGAGAGAGACCTAGAGAGACACACAGAGAGAGGGAGACAGGCAGACAGAGAGGCGCAGATAAGAGAGAGAGAAGAGAGAGAGAGTTCCAACGCCGCCGCCGCTGCTGCTGCTGCTGCTGATCCTGTTGTACCCCTGCTGACACTCACACACAACACGACGATGGGCCGTAAGAACTTTTCCAACCATACTGAAACTGACGTGTCTTTTCATTGGTCAGCCGGTTGCTAGCGCCGTCAATGCTAATAAACAACACCCCCACGTTGTCGCAATCTGCACCCTCGAACGCAGCCGACAACTGGAGGAGGGCGACCACCTCGTGGGCGTCTACGGGGACAACTGGCTGAGGGCGGCGTCGTTCAGCCTGATGGCGATACCCCTCAGCCCCAGGGCGAAGGAAGAGGAGTCCTCGGTGGTCAGCGTCGACGCGCAGCTCGTGTCGCAGAGAGAACAGCTGAAGGCCTTCAAGGTGTGTGTGTGTGTGCTTGTCCGAGGTTCTGGACTGCCTACGCAAAGAAAATAAGGAGCTACGAAAAAAATATCAGGGAGGGGACACGCAGACCGTATAACAATCCTACCCCTAACCCTAATCCCAAGCCCAACTTAGCCGATTCTATACTTAATCCAGTATCTTTGCTTACTTACAAATTGCTGCTGGAGCTTCTTCGGAATAAGGGCATAGGCTGTTTCAACTTGTCGGGTTTTTTGTGTCTGCAGCCGATCTGCCGTTTTGTATTCTGCCGCCTGATTTGTCTGCTCCTTGGGGAAGGGGGCACGTAGCTCGTTTGGTGTTGTACTGTAGCGCATGTTTGACGCATGACGTTCGCCAGACCTGGCCTGTTTCCACCGGAGCCCTGGTTTGCGTTCATTCCCTTGTTTGGCCTGGGCACCCCCCCCGTCACTGGGCGTGGCGTAGTGGCGGATGTTTGGTTCGCCTTTCCTCCTCGCCCTCTTGGTTGCACGTACAGCTACAGTCTCGCGTCTCTTTGCTCCTGTCTCTCTTTCAGTCTGTCTCTGTCTGTCTGTGCGTGTCTCTCTCTCTCTCTCTCTCTCTCTCTGTTTCACTCTGGCTGTCTTTGTGCTTTGTGTATCTGTCTGTCTCTCTTCGTCCCTTGCTGTGTCTGTTTATCTCTTTATCTTCCTCCCTTTCTCTCTCTTGAACACTGCAACTGCTTACCACCATCCGCTTTTGCTATATACCCACGCTCGCTGCAGCCGGAGTATCTGGAGGCGAAGGCGAAGTGGGAGGCGACCCTCGGGAAGCTGGAGGAGCTGACGGCCCACACGACGGAGCTCGTGAGGGCGAGGGAGGTGGTCTACGACCAGCTCGTGGGGGCGTCTCTCTCGGCGTACGCAGCCTCGGACCAGGCGGCGGCATCAGCCGCAAGGTGATTGATGCGATTGATCACAAGATGCTCACTCACGTGATCCATACAGTTCTTTTTTTGGGACGTGGCGTGCAAACGATTGTTTGGCAGACAAGGGAAAGCGTTGTTGTTGTTGTTGTTGGTGTCTTGGCATTAAAAACCGTTCCGTTCTCTCTACCCGGTACCTTCTTCTGTCCGTACTAGTCAAGCACTTGACGCGGTCGATTCCCGTGATACCCTCGTTTTTTTTTTTCTTTCCGCTTCCGCCCAAGTGATTTGATTTTGGCGTTTTTTGTGCACGAAGAGGTGCGGGTTTACGTTTTACCGCCTGACGGGTGGGTAGCGTGTGCAGATCATGATTTGTTGTTTTGTTTTTTTCCGCCGCAAGAGCGCGTGTGTGTGGGCCGTCGTTGTTGTTGGCAACCCCAATTTCTTCCCCCCGGTGATGAATGAGCCAGCTCTACCACAAAACGATGAAAACGCAAAACGCCCGGACTGCAGCATTTTCTACCCCCAAAAAATAACAAGTGGGTTGTGAAGCAGGTGCGATGCGTACGTGAGGTTCGTGTCTCTTACTGTTGCGACTTTTTTCTTCTTCTTTTTGGCACACGGAGCCCCCTTTGTTTGGCGCACACCGAATCAAACCCTTGATTCCTCCGCTGATTTCCCCAACCTGCAGAATCAGCTATCTGTCAAGTTTCTTGTGCTGACTTTTTCCCTTCTTCGTTCATTCTCTCACTCCCACTTTCCTCCTTGCCCCCCCTCCCCCCTCTCCACTCTCCGCCCCCCCCCCCAACTTATCCGCAGGCGAGGGGTTCCGGCGAATGGGTCGGTTGGGTCCGCGGTAAACGTAAACCACGCCTTGAAGAAGAGGAGAGGGGCGGCGGCGTCTTCGTCACAAGGCGGCGGGGGAGGGGGAGGGGGCGGCGGAGGGTTGTTTGGGCGGCTCTTTTGAGGTCTTGTCCGGGCCGTGTGAATAATTTTTACTCCCACAACAACAAAACATCCAGACGAAAATCACGAAAAAGAGAGTACCATTAAACAGAAAAATAGACTGGGTGTGTAGTGAGAAGGTGGGCTTGGCAGGGGGCTGGCATTTCTTGTTGTTGTTGTCGCGGGTTGTGGTTTCGTCGGCCGTTTTTTTCTTTCGCACACACCGAAAGAGCGACCCGTGTCAGCGCGAGATGGTTGGGAAGTTTTGGGGCAGGCTGTTTTGTTTTTTTGCTGAGCCTGCTTGTCATTGTGTTCGACGCCATGTTTTGCCGCATGGCGTACTTCTTTTTCTTTTTCTCATCCCGGTCTTGTAGCGCAGCTATTTTTTTTTTGGAATGCGGTGCGTGTGTCGGTGTATGATATGTTGCGGCGATCTGAGGTTTCGATGTATGCCAAAGGCGTCTAGTAGATTTCTACAGTGGAAATTTGATATTTGTGTGGAGATCTCGATTTGGCCGTGGTTGTGTAATTTTGGCCAGTCTTCCGCATTTGTGTTGCGGCACGAACCTTTATTTGCGAGGGTTTGGGGGGGGTTTCGGACCCGTGGTAGTCTGTTGCTGGGTTCTTGGTGATACGGTCTCTTCTAGGTTTGGGTGCATGTTGCGAGTAGGTTGAGCTGGTGCGATTTTGAAGGCAGAAATCGAGCCCTACTCCTGTGCGCATGCTTTGTCTTCTTGGTCCCTTTCCCCTGTGAAAGAGAGAGCAGCAGCCAAGGAAGGCGTGAAAGTTTCACGTGTGATACATATTATTGTAGTGAATTTTCCGGACACAACCGGCTTTTCTCAGTTTAGGCAGAATTCGAAGCGATGGTATTTCGCCTGTATCTCGATTAAAGCCCATGTTGCTCTTCCTCTCCCTCTCACCGAACGTGGGTCGTCCGTGCGTTGATCGTGCGCGATTCTCTAGTTACGAAAGAGTTTTCGCGCCCCGAAGGCAGGTTGGGCTACTACTGCTGCTGTAGCGCCGTCTAACTCATTTCGCGTTTTTGAAACAGTCAACTCTTGCGGGTCTCTGTTCTCGCTTACTGTTGATGGAGAGTGACGGCGTGCCGGGTAAACCTCGTTGGGGGCGCGTGGTCAAACGGGCGTTGCCACCCCTGTCCTTCCGGCTGGATTGGTGTCGTGTGTTTCGCCGAGATCCCTTTCGTTCGTCGCGTTAGTACCTATGTAGCACTTTTCCCAAAAGTGAGGTTATGCTGTTGTTGCCCCTATGCATACCAACGGTGAAGCGCGGGCTTTTTGTACGCCACACACAGCGAGCAGTTCATGTGTTTGGATGATCCCACGTGAATGTGCGGCATCTATGAATCAACGTGAGGTCGGCTCATGCAATGTACGTTCCGTTTTTTTTGTTGAGGGGGCTGGAACTGTACACAGTGCGGTGTTGTACGTTTTACGGTGGCATGCCCTCTGTTGGGCGGGGTGCCACGACGCGCTGGTCGAGATGCAACTGCTGCCGCCGCAGAGGTGTCTCGCCTACTGGTCCCGGTCCTCTCACCCTACAGCAGCGGGCGTCCTTGCGAGTATGGTCTAGCTTGGACAGATTGCTAGCAAACAAGGCTGACAACCCACGGCTTGCGGTTGAAACCACAGGTTGTTTTTGAAGCTGGGTCCAATGCATCATACGGCGACAGCATTGGATGTTCCAAAGTTTACGGTGGTCTGTACTTTGGTAGACTCGTTTTTTAATTATAATTCGCAGGCACCGGGTACATGGCGTGGGTGTGCTGTAACTTCCGTCAACAAATCAGCACCAACCTTCAAGAAGAGAGACTGCCTCATACCAACCAAAGCTTGTTGGACACCGTACCAAAACGGCTCTTCTTCATTTTTTTTTTTTCTTATCAATCAAGTACAACAAAAAAACGTTTCACGATTATTACATGCATGCATGCTGCCCAGCGAAGCGTCTATCTGGAAAAGGATCTGGAAAACGACCCTACCCCCATCACACATGCATGCGGCATCAACAAAGTCCCAACAGATTGCTGAACGCCACCCTTTGGGATACTAAAAAAAAGAAGCGAGCGGCTATGCCGTACACCAAATGACGCTACTGTAGGGTGTTTGTGCAAACCAAGGCCGTTTGTGATATCAATATCAAAACAGCGACGCCGGCATTCCACAGCGCCGCGGCCACCACCGCCCCCAACCACAACGCCTAAACACCAGCCACGCTACACGGGTTTACATCCGGTGTCAGTCTGGCACGTTCGTCAAGCCGTTGGGCGCATCGCGTCCCCGTGAATAGTGTACGTACATCAAGAATCGCAAATACCTACAGCTTACCCAACCACACAAGAACAAGACAGAAAAACAGCACAATACTCGGAAGTGATGAATGACGAACGAACAACACGAGAGATTGCGAGAGACAGCAAGCGACGCCAGCCCCTTCTTTCTTTCACGCTTAGATCCGATTAAGAAAATATGTATGTTCTTCACTCGAGAGCCTCTCTGTGCTTTCGAACTAAACTTGACCAAGCTACATACATACGACCTGCCGCAATGCCTCAACAAGCCCGCACATATCCCCCCCCCTCCCCCCCTGCAACCAATGCTGCACCGTGCCGCGGCAAAGTAAGGAAAGTACCAACAACTACCCCCGCATCAAACACATGTACGTTGCAAATACAAGTAGACACCGCCCCTCCTCAGATATGTAGGTTAACGCATACATACACCACTTCACCACACAATCTCAAGAGAAGGAAACATGCAGGAAAATTTACAACAGTAGACTAGAGCCTGTGTGAACAAGGTCGCACTCTCAAGCAACGTTTCTGTACTCTCAACGAAAACGACATAACCTCAAACCAAACTACAACTTCGTGCTTGCTTGTGCATGGCAGGAAACACAATGGAATTCTCCCGTCTCAGTCTCAAACGCAGCTGAACGGTCATGACGGGAGACACGGCACCTACATGCACACAAAAACAAGTCACCCACAGGTTAATAAATGCCGCCACGGCTACCGAATGACAAAACAGAAACAACCGCTAACCTACAAAGTCTAGACCTATCATAGACTATACTCCACATTGATTTGTCGACAGTTTGTCAAAAACTACGTTATGCCAGTAGTATATTACTTCTTCTGTACCACAACTACTGGTACTAGGCCTGTACTACTGCTTTCTACTCCTACGAATCAATTCAGTTCCAGCTGTTTCAGTAGTAGGGGTCCTTGTAGGTGGTCTTCTTGGTCACCGTGTGCTCCCAGTACCGGTCCCCGTCCTCGTCGTACTTCGTCTCCCACCACCCCTTGCCCTTCTCCTTCTTCTCGTCCTGTTTGTCGTCGTCCTTCTTCTTGGTGGGGAGGGGCGGGTTGGGGGCGGCGGCGTAGACAGGCGGAGGTGTGAAGACCACGCCGTGGGGAGAGACCATGGGTGTAGGGCCGACCGCCACAACGGGAGGGGCGCTGGGGCCGCCACCGTAGACGTAGGCCCACTCGCCCGTCACGCTGTGCTGCCTGTTGGTTGTTGTTGGATTTCGGAGAATATGCAAGGCGAGTTTCAGGGAAAATGGTGTTGATTGCTGGATGCGAGCGAGTGTGAGAAGAGGCAAGACGTCTGGACGAAGCTGCTGTACGCTCTCTACACACATGATTTGTATGTGACTGCAAGTCTAGACTATGCCTGAGAGCGTACGAGTTCGGGACGTTAGGACATGGAATCTGATTGTTGCCATCTCACGCTGATGAGATGAAGTAAGTGACGTGTGCATACTGTACACTAGTGGGGATTAGAACAAGCTCGGGCTTGAAAAGGAAGGGAAGCAAGTGGAAGCACACGTGTTACAACGTTGAGTACTACTGTACACGTACACTGTACAAAGGCGGTGGCGAAAAACAAAGCAGCCATCCAATCCATGTGAGACGCGTTCAACGATCCATTCCTCTATACGGTGTATCTACATGAATTGTGGCATGTATATGTGGATCTTCTTCGCCTGCACACGAGCAATGTAATATCCAAAACGGTTTTCTAACATGTGTAGCCTCCGTTCTACGCAGAAGTCTACATGTAGACATGGACGGTAGACTGCCGTGCTTCTGGAATCTCTCTCACCAGTATGCCCGGCCGTAAACGTCTGTGAGCATGTCCCACTTTCCCTCGTCTTTCTCTTCCTCCTTGCCACAGTCGTTCTTTTCCTCCTTATCAGAGCTCTCCACGTTCTTGTCTGCGTCTGTGCAGGCATGATGGGAGAGGAAGAGGAGAAGACACAAAGAAGGTGAGCGTGAGCTGTTGGGGAGAACCAGCGGCCTGTTCTTGCTTCGACGTGCGTGTGAAGCCGGCCGCAGCAGCACAGCTAAACGCTAGAGGCAACAGCCTCCACGACGACATGCATGCACCACAGGCCGACAACTCACTTTTCGTGCCTGCCTTCTTCGCCGCCTTCAGGCGCCTGTTGTTCACCATGGTCGCGAAACCGCTCGTGAAGAACGACATGTTTCCCTGTTTGCTGTTGCTGCGGTTACTGGTGCTGCTGGTGCTGGTGCTGCTGTTGTGCTGTTCACGGATGTGTGAGAAGTCTTTTGCTGCTTGCTTCGGAGGGTCCTGTTGAGGGTTTGTTGGGGCTCGAGAGAGGGATGGAGAGGGCAGTTGCGTGGCTGTGTGTGGTGTGGGTGTGTGTGGCTCTGTCCCACGCGGCTGCTGTGGTTTGAATCAGATCACGAATTCGTCGAAGCAGAGCTCGGAGGAGGCTTTTGTTGGCTGGCAAAGGAGGTTCTGCAGAAAGGTTCTGCCAAAAAGGTTCTGAAAACGAACAACGGCCCGAGGACCAGAGTTCTCCCGCCGTCACAAGGAACTATCGTGGAAGGTTTCTCACGGCCGTAGAGCGCGGAAAATGGTTCGCTAAACCTGGCACTGGAGCACCGCTGTCTATACTCCTCCTACACACCCATCCCCTCTCCATGCACACGAATGCGTATGCCTACTGCTGTAACATCGTTGGTTGGGCACACACACTACAGCCATAAAATAAAGCAGTTAACTCGACGAGCCTGGCGACACTCCGAAGGATGAAGTGTGAGCGCGAAGAAAGCAGTTGTCCAATACCAGCGGCCGGACGCAGAGACACGGGCTACAGCAATCCAGTCGAGCGCCCTTGCATGTCCGACCAAGCATGCATGTATTTCCGGGAACAGTACTCCGTCCGGTAGCTCAACCGCCCGGATGGACATCGATCGCATTTTACATATAGGTGGTGGCAGTTTCAAGATCCATGCTTGGGCGGAAGCAATCTTCTGCTCAAGACCTGAACAAGTGGAGGTCAACACGCACGAGGATACATGTGCCTCTTCCTTTCCTGCGGCGCGCCTCCTAGACTATTAGTCATCCTCGAGCGTCATGTCTTCGGTCGCCGACTCCACACTCAACATATGTAGTAGCAGTCGCGTGTGCTTGGCAATGCTTTTTGGCCTTGACCAGTCGTAGAAAGAGCCATAAGCGAGCGACATTGCACTACAGGCTGTCTGTGTGTGGTGTGTCGTCGAGACCCCAATTGCTTCATAAAAGTCTATTCATACATTGCTTGTTTGTTCATGCCCGCTGCCCCTCTCTCTTCGACGAGAAAGAAAGTCGACCGGTCTGCCCGAGATCAGGACCTGCGGCGCACAAAACCATGGAGGCATTACCGCTCAAGTTCGTCGCTCATCAGAGAGAAAATCATGATGAGCGCGTATTGTACAGTAGTTGAAGCCTGAGGAAAGCACCGCGTGAAACGACTGGTTGTGCCTGCGCTCAATGTTGTGG